TCGAAAATTTGGAAATTCGTGCCAAATAAAAAGAAATCATAGCGACCGCGCACCAACGATGATATTCCGCACGCGCGGCCTCGATCGTAAAATAAAAACGCCGTTTTATTGTTCCGCGATTGTAATAAATCGCGGAGCGCGCACTATGACGGCCAGACGGCGCGAGCGCTTTAAGACCGCGCGTCGTGCGCCCGCGTTTTAATTCGGCGGATATGCTTAAGCCAAGAGGGAGATTGGGCAAATGAAGTCTGAGCCTCGAGATTTGTGTTCCCGGGAAAACGATCGCAGCTCGTTCACCGTCGCGATGTCTACGCTTTTTATCGTCCGTCCCTTTTCATTCTTCCGAAGAATAAACTTTCCCGTCCCACCGAGTTATTCGCAATTGGGACGGACGGACGGCTCGAAGTCGGCGAATTGGTGCGGACCAACATTAATTCTTTTCCTCTCCTTCTGGGAAAACTCAAAGCGATCTCTCTGCCTAGCTTTCTGTAGGTTTACGTGTGATAGCGAGAGGGATGTAACGACGATCTCACGCAACGTGAGGACCATCGTCGTCGGCGTATTGGAAATAACAGATAGAATCGATCGTTAGATTCCTACTTTGATTAGTAATATCTAATTAATAGTTAGGATATTAGTAATAGTAATAACAGAGTTTTATATATATATATATATATATAAATGTAATATACACGTGTGTACAATGTATGTCGGTTTCGAGTGCATTCGCATTGTATCGTATAGCGCCTCGCAAGTGGCGTGTTGTGCACCATATTAGAATCAGACTGCACGGGTAGACTTGTAACCGAAATGATCATAAGAATTAGATACGTAAATCGTTGCGATCGTTATGGCTCTCACGCGGATTATGATAGCTTAATTTCGAAACTGTACATTACACTGCTTAGAGAACATCATTTACGTAAAGTAGATAACTGACACACATAGAGATTTTCCGAAAGACTTGTTTGCAAAAAATCTTCACCACGCCTAAAGCGATTGGTGTTACACGTATTAATTGATGACAATTGGTAAACGGTTATAATTCTTACACATTACTTACATTTATCTCAATCTTAATGATTTGCGCTATTTTTTTGCACGGCCATTTATATTTTACTCGCTAATGTCTTACATGCTTAAAATCACTTATAATATTATCTCATTCGTATAGTTCGTTCAAATCAGGGTCTATATTCGTATCTCGCTCTCGATATAATCAACGAAATTAACCGTATAATTATAGCATAACTCAATAATTGTCTCTGCCCGTTTAGGATTCGCAAAGACTAAAATATTTTACGTAAAACATTTTTAGTTTTTGTTCAATTATTCCTTGGATTTATGCTATAACTATACTAATTGTTCACATCAGAAAGTTTTATCCTCAGATATCTCTGGTTTATTAAGAATAAGTAGCAAATTATATAAACACACAGTACCTATATAACATAATAGCCACTTTCGAATTATAATAATAGAAAAAAGAATTAATTTTTTATACATAAAAACGATAATGTGATTTTTAAACCACACAAAATAAAATGACTGAAAAAAGTGTGTGTATTAAGTAAAGAAGTAGCATTTTATACATTAGTTATTTTATACTCATATGTCTTGCGTGAGATAAATTTACTAATTTCTGTATTAAACAGTTAATCTCGTATTAGAGTGTGTGATATTAAATCAAAAGATCTTTTTGTTCTGAATTCTGAGATTTTGTACTGTGATATAAATGGAAATTGAAAAGTTTTTATTTGAGTAATGAGAAAATAAGCAATAAGAGACAAACTAACACTAAATCACGTTAGTCAAGTGAAAATGTTTCCATCGAACAAAATATAATATGTGAATTGGGAACACCCCAATCAACCGATTTAATAAATAAATATTTTTTACTTCTTTCTAGAACGCAGTTATTATTAATGTTAGGATCGAAAGAATCACGTTTTCTTTTCGATGAATGAAAATTGCCGATCAATGCATCAATGCGGTGGTGTTTAAATTCCCATCGAATACACGTGATTTCATACGATTCCGTCCACATATTTGTCGTATAGCGATTGTCGTATTCTGACGCAAATAACCACGGCGGTCCAACGACCGCGATATTCGTGCAATCGATTACCATAGTGTGGAAACGCGTCTTTCTTCTCTTATAATTTTCTTCTCTTTTTCTCTTCAGTAAAAAGAACGCGCGTTTTTATTGATCCCGGCTATGCTAATAATCCATTGAACGAATGCCACAGTCTTATCAACGAATTCCATATTGGTTCCATATTGGTTCTCTTGTATCCTACCATCTGTGGTCACTTACTATCCTTATGAATTACCCTTTTCCCATCAACCACTTCAAATCCTATCTCATCACGGGATCAGAAAAAAAGAGAGAAAGTGGAAGTAATAAAAAAAGAGCAATAACAAGAAACAGAGCAATAACAAGAAACAGAGAAAGAGAAAGAGAGAGAGAGAGAGAGAGAGAAATTATACAATAGACAGAAAATATAATAAACTATTTACTACCTATACAACTATAGTTAACAAGTTACGATTAGATTAAAAATAGATAAAAGTTGAAGATTTTAAACAGTATGAGTAACATTACCGAGAAAGTTAATATTAATGATAGTTGAGAGAGATCCTGAGGGACTTTTAGAAAGTTAAACAGCAAGTAAGAAAGGAAGTGATAGAGAGCGAGACGCGAGAATTATACACGTACGCACGCACGTTCATAGGCAGGCATACTTTAAACATCACGGAACTAGACGCGCGAGATGTGTTTATCGATTTATCGTTGTGGTGTATTGCGCGTCACGTACGTGCGTGAGCGCGTACATTTCCGCTAATGTACACGCTGTATTGGGCGTATAGGATTTATGATGCTGGAGCTTATCGTTTCTCTCTCTCTCTCTCTCTCTCTCTCTCTCTCTCTCTCTCTCTCTCTCTCGCTCGCTCGCTCGCACGCCAAATCGAACACATGAGATCGACGAAGAAGAGTTAGTTGACATCTTCTCTTTGGATATTTCGAAAGAGGAAAATCCCAGAATTTCACGTTGTGATCTCTCTTGAAGAATCGCTGGAGAACGCGGTTGTGCAGATCTCAGTTTGATCGAACGAAATGAGGAATATTGTTACTCGGTTGTGTTTCCGCAGAACAGCGAGCACAGGTGTGCGAGACATCGTTCTCTCCTCTCTATCTCGCGGTATCCCTTTTCCGCGTATGATCATATCGCGAGAATCTCGTTCGTACTGACGTAGGAGCATCTGTTTGCTGGCAGGTACGGGATTTCCGTCTTACGGAAATAATATTTCTGTCTTAGAAGCGGTCTCACACTAATTGGCAGATGTATTCCGTACCCTTTGAGAATTAAACCGGTCGCGCTTTCGATCATTCTGTCGTTCGTTGTGTTACGCTTTTCTGTTATTGTTACACAGTCAGGTATAGAATACATCCACCGTGTGTCGAGCAAACATAATCCAAGTATGATTAAGCGCTGGTCAAAGTCTTTGTCGATGACGGGGAATAAAATTGAGTAATGAAATACCGGTATATGCGCCGGTGTATGCACGGTTATATACGGTTTGTTTTATTTTTATCTAGATTTGCGTTTAATTTTGGACCCTGCGACGCAAAGTGATTATTCATCGCATATTGGACAGCGTGCGTACGCTCCCGTTCGCACATACGCACACCTCACATACACTCACGTACGGACAATGCATGATTGAGGACACGATCTGCGATTGATCGTTTCGCGCCGATTTATTCTCTCGCGATATCTTCCTCAAACGAACGAACGTTTTCAACGAACGAAAGATTGATTATTGCTGTACAGTTAGGCTGCGACAGAGGAACCTGTTTGTAAAACACAACTTTTGCGTCTCTTGTACTTGCTTTCGTACGAAATGAACTACATGAACACGCTACACACGCGCACCAGCACGCATCCATATACCCTGCACGTACGTGACAGAATTATTAAATTCTATACATACGTAGTCTTTCGTTAAAAGTAACATCGAAGACTCACAATTTGAACTCCGAACGTTTAAAGGGGCCTCGAATATCGGCTCACGACGCGCGAATATCTAATTAGTAGGAAACATACCATATATATTTTCTCGCATCCACATTTATTTGTCAGTAGATCTGCCGACGATCTTCAACGTTGGTTGGTGTTAACGTGACCGATCGGTCACGGTGTTCGTAGGGTTCTCTTTCCTTCTTCGATCGCGCCGTTATCTTCCGCCGCAGTTATTATACGTGCAACGCGTCACACAATCATGCATATACGATTGAATGTTCTCCGAACCAAATTGCATCTTGCGCGATTGTGCGTTCTCTACTGCGATAGCCGGCCGCATTGTGCTCAGGTAGCGCGTTATGAAATTTGCAAATCGTCTAATTATTTTTCCATGACGAGACTGAATATATTTACGCAACTGCATGCTGCACGTGCATACTGCGTTGTAACTTTGGATTGTCATGCCTTTCATAAACGTGACCAAGAGATTAGGCACGGAAATAGTGTCCCCCATTCGTATCAGCCGGCACGTTTCTCCTGCTGTTCTCTGTTCTTTTTGGAACGAGAGTGGCCAGTAGAAGAAAAATATAGAGGAAGGAGCGATATGCTGCCTCTTGGTCTTCGAAACGACTCGGTTTATAAGGTATGTCACAAGTTGGAGAGTAGTAATCCGTGCGTGGCAGATTATGTTCCCTTGGCCAGCCAAGTGAACAGCGTACTCTTCGTTGATCTGTCGCGTGCAGCATGTACCAAGTCCGTGTGAGTTGTGTAAAGGTAGTAGAATTCAATTCTGTTCGTTAGGGGACTTGTTTAATGGCTCTCTCTAGTAATGGAAACGTTTAAAACATTTTCATTCTTATTTCAATAAAGTTTTTCGTCCTCTGGTTCTATCATTTAATAATGTAGAAAAGAAATTTTCTTGCGTTTTGACATTTTAATACTTTTTTAAAAAAGTTCTTCTTTAGTCAGTTATGGATCTCGCGTACCGTAAAATGACTTGCAATACGATATATCTCGCATCGTTTTCGGGGTAAAGTTGTACGTTGATTTGATAGTCGCAAAGGAGTCGGTTTTTTGGAAGATGACAACATTCCCCTCTGAAGGAATACACCAACTCAGAGACGTGAGATCAACTCGTCTCTCTCTCTCTCTCTTTCTCTCTCTCTCTTCATCTCTCATTCTTCGCACGTGCGATTTTGCAGTTTCCAGTGCTCATTTTGTATTCCGAAAAAATCAGCTGGAAAACTTTTTTCGATCTGAAACACGAACTTGCCGTCTTGTCGCAAGCAAACTCCTCGCGCATTTCCGATTCCATCTTCCGCAAGTGTTTCAGTGGCATTGTAAAATTCCACCTTCCTCTTATGATTAAAGTTTCTCTCGAGGATAACGCGAGGATAACGCGGGGATAACAGATCGGATACCGCGCGATGCGATCGAGAAAACATCCTCGGAGTACCATCGGTATATTCACATACCCGAGGACGGAAAATGTAATTATCGCTAGCGTCCCTCCTGGTCGACGCTATACTGTATTGCTCATTTAAACAATATTCGGCGAAAAGCACGGCGGAAGTCCTTGTTGAAGACTGTGTAAATAAAGGGATTCAGCGCCGAGTTGGTGTAGCCGAGCCAAAATGCGATTACGAAGGCCTGCGAGGGTATATCGAAATCAGGAAAGAGAGGTTTGACGATGTAAAGGACAAAGAAGGGCAGCCAACAAGCGATAAAGCTGCCCATTATGAAGCCCAGTATCAGCGTGGCGCGCTTCTCCTTCTTTCTTGCTATTCTCCTCTTCTCTTTCTCTGGATCGCGCTGCTTCGCCGTCTTGCCGTTGCCGCCGGATTCGTCCTTGCCCGCGTGTCGCCCCGCATCGCCGTGTTCCCTCTTCAACTTACCTACGTGTTTACGACCGAAGATCGGCTGGCACAATCGCAGCTTGAGCGGCTTTACCACCGCGCATCTCGACACCACGCCACTGTCCGATGACGAGGGATCAAACTCGGACACCATGTCGACGTCGATGCCAACGCTGGGCGCTCGGCATCGCGCCGGTACATTCTGACCTCCTGACTGCCCGTCTCCGTTCACTGACAGAGTCGCCTTTAAGTTGCTCTTTTGTGCCGGCACCGGTATACTCACCTGTAACAAAATGCGTACATTACCGTACATTAGACATTTTGTTTGTTTAATAGCGTTTGTTTCTTCTTTACAGTCGTCACAAATATGTATGAATCTGAAATTTCTATAATGACTGGCAAATAAGTTTTGTTTGAGTCAAACAAAGTTTGAACAAAAAATTATTTTTCGCTTGAGTTTAAATTTAGTTAAAATTTATATAAAATTAAAATTAGGTAGGCGCGCGATCGTAAGAAATAATTGCTGTATGTTTTATGCACGTGCACGATGTAACAGTCGCCATATCAGCACTGTCTAGTGTAATAATATGCTGTGTGAGCATATTATTTTGTTAGAACAGGTTCTTTGCAACTTTCTAGATACGCAATGTTATAAATTCGGCTGTTAGTTTTGAGATAAGATTTTGAATATGCAGTAAATTTGTCAAGTATGTTGAAAATAAATTCACCACGAAATTTCCTAATCTATAAAAGCTCTTAACAATCACAGGTTTGAATTTTTATATAAAATAAAAGTTGGTTCAAGTGATATTATGGAAATTTGTGAAAAACAAGAGATATAACGTAACAGAATATTATAATATTCTATTGGATTGTGAAATCAAGAGTAGGTTATTCATCCGTTCTTTTCACTTAAAGTTAATCAGTTCTACATGCAAATTTCTTCAAATCTCAGAAATTTACTAGAATGACAAGTTACGTGCGTGTCTATTCTTGTGTACATGCGATGTATGATTTTCATACGAACAGGCAGGATTATCACGAGACTCTTTGACATGCAGCTGTTATACGAAGCCCGAGGTAACAAAGGCGGGCGTGTTCTTGCGCTCAAGTTTGAACGAGAATTCGCGTAATTGCGCGACAGTCGGAATGGGAAACTCATCCCCGTGCAATTATGTCCCTGCCTCGGCATAAAACTGTATTTTCGTACGTAATTACAAACGCGACTTCGCTCAGGTATACGAATTTTCCTCAGTGCACACCACTGCATAATCTTGACAAACGAATGGAGTCCAATCTTGCAACGTGATTTAATGCTTAATACAAAAAGCAATTTATTCCCCGCAAATGTATCGACATAAGGCTTTGGTATTGAGTTTGAGTGAAGCAAAACGTTTTTCATCATCCGGAAATAGTGAATATTCATTTGCCATAATGCGAGTTATCTCATACAGATATTATTTAATAAAATGTCGATAAACACTCTCTCTAATACGTTAGTTACTTCGATATGTAATTATAGATCTTTTGTCGTACAAGTGCATATATATGTCTGAATATTGACTGACGTATTTCGACAGAAGTAATATATATCTCACCATGTGTCGGGGAGAGAGGAGATGGGGAGGGAAGGAGAGAGAGAAAGAGAGAGAGTTACTCTCAATCAATTTTATATTTGATGTAAAGCAATATGACTGTCGTCGGTAGAATGTTCTTGATGAGTTTTAATTTATCAAGATATACCGAAGTATAGTTTATGAAAAGCGATGAAAGACTGTAATCTGACGGGATATATGGCAAAAGAAATTCGTATGTAGATCGATTGACTGCATATCTTGATTCGTGCATGATAGCGACATTGCTGCCATATTATATTCTCTTTCGTTGGAATCTTTGTCCAATTCAACTCTCTACAAACTGCATTCTAATATAAAATATATCTGATTCCGAAGATTTACCAGTTCTATTTTTACGTTCCACGCAAGATATCGATGATATGTGATAAGAGTAATAATGAGTGGTGTTAGTATGCCCGTACAAGAAAAAAATGATAAGAGAAATAGAGAAAAATATGATAAAAGAGACAATCCCAAATTTGCGGAAACTTTCTTCATATATATATTTTAATCGCACTGATATAATTAACACATACAAACTATATACTTTTATTTGTTACGTGTGTATTGTTAAATTGTATTGTAATATACAACAATCTCAAATTTCAGATTGCTATAAATTATTGTCGCCGATCGTAATACAAAGTCAACAGCTTTCCACAATATTGTGGAAGATTTACATTTAGAGTCATTAATTTTATTCGAGATTCAATCAGAAGCACTCACCGTAAAGATTTGAATATGAAAACGAAACTATGAAATGTTGCACAATGTGTAATGAGTAATGAGATTTCGAGATACAAAATATTATAATACTTTTATAATATTTCTATAATATGTCTCCGATTAATAACTATGAATATTTTCTGATAATTTTATTTCAAGCTTTGCGTTTATTTCAAACGCAGAAATATTGTTGAAACGATTAAAAATTTTACCTTCAGCGTGTCCTTCTCTTCCATCGGTATACTAATGCCTCCACCGGGATCAGCTTCTGACGTGCTGACGTCGCTGGCGAAGTCGCATGTGACAATCGGTATCTGGACCGGCTGGTTCTCGATCGTGGCAACGTTTTCCATGACTGATCCCGGAGGCTTCTTAGTATCGGTTGCCGGTGTGCTTTGAGTGAAGCTGGTCTGCCTGATGTCAGGCGATTCCGGCGGCACCGCACGTGGACGGGGCTGTTTCCGGATGCCGCGACGTGCGCGAGCCTTGGCAGCGAAGTATATACGTATGTACACGAAGACCATGATGCAGGATGGGATGTAAAAGCTGCCCAGGGCAGAGTAAAGGACATACCCGATGTCCTCCGACAGCTGAAACAGAAAAAAAAAACGGATTCCTTATTTCAATAATGCTCTTATATTTTGTGGCAACTTGATATTAATTTTAATATTAACTTTATTTTTAATATTAATATTAATTTTTGACTCGAAAAAGTTACAAAATCCTCTTAAATTTAGTACTCTTTAATATACAATGTAACATTTATTGGTAAAAGGAAACGCGTGTTATCATATAGTTGCGCGCGAGCAAATTAACTCTGTCCACCTTCCATCCTCTTACGTTACTACATAAATATATTTCAAGGTTAACAGATACACATTTCGTTTTCTCTTTTTTACACACACACACACACACACTCGCTATATATATTTGTATATCGGTAGGTATTTAACGAATTGCTGGTTATATGGGTCAATTGATTTTCTGTTGTCATCCGCACGATATGTTCGATATCCGTATAAGTGGGTGCAGTAGTTCTTCGGAATAAACTCCCGTTCTGGAAAGCACTCTAACTTTGGCGCTCTATTTCTGGGAAGATTTGATTTCGATGTCGAGGATGCACAACACTTTTATAGCGGCGCGGGCGTTCAGAATGTGTGTTTAACTAGATTTACACCGCCGGTATGTACGTGCAACGGACCGCGTTACAATTTCGCTTTAAGAGCTCCGCGCACGTCCGTCCGTCGGGCGTAAATACAAGTGCCAGAATTTAATTTTACTTAATTCGCGATGCAACGTGCGGTCGCGCGTATAACGCAGGCTTAAACTATATTCAAATTTATGTCGCCGCATAACTCGCGTGCGAACGCGTTTCCTAGCACGCCTTTAATTTTACATGCACTAATATGATTACTGTTAGTAAGTGCAGTACAACCTTAGTATCTGAGAAGTAAACTCGGTAGCGCGCTACTTGGCGTAATATCTCGTTACGTCGAATTACGAACGCGCGATTAAGCGCAGGCGAGTGATTTATATTAAATGCACAGTACGATGATACTATATATGTGTAAAGGAAAGTTAAGAAAATTAAGAATCTGACTTTAAAGTGTATCTGTATGCAAGCATTATATAATACTTTTGCGTTAAGCAAGCATATTTATAAATTATTTCCTAAAATTAATATGAGATACGAAAACTTACGGATTTTTTTAAAAACACGTATTGTGTGTCATTTCTCCAGAAAATGCAGAGAAAATTGAGAAGTGTAATATCTTTGAAAGAGAGTGCTATTTTATGTACACTTTTTGTCAAAGCTTTTAGTTTTGTCTACTTTTAGCATAGTATTCACTAGCATCCTTGAATTGCTGTAATGCCATGGGCTCAGAAAGAACAGATTTCCATTAGGGAAGAAATAGATTCAAAAATTTTAGCTCGTAACTAAGTTAATTAGATAATTTCATTTAGGATTTAGTTATTGCATATTCGTTCATTCTTTTCATCTTGTTTCAAAATACATGCCGCAGAATGTTGATATAAACATATGAATGTTGACAGATATCCGCATGTTGCCAGGATTTAATTAATGCATTTGTATAGCTCCATTTAAATCGCTCGCTTATCAATTTTATATCATTAGACGTATTAAAATCGTATATTGTACGGATATGTACCTAATACAAAATTTAGCAACAAATTAAATAGGATTAAATAGAAATAATAACTAGATGGGTTAATCTACTTGATAGATTCATTAGGTATTCATTTTTTAAAACCACCCATCAAAAGCGAAAATTAAATGACCGTGGCGTGAATTTAAATTTAAATTCTTGGTAGATATTTAAACTCTGCGTTTTTATTCCTCTGCTTTTCATGATTTTCTTACGCATCTTGACGACAGAATGCTTTCTTATCGCGACAGGAAAAGAAATTTTCAAAGGTGCACCTGGTGTTCCGACCACAGTGCACAGGCACAAATGCGCGAAATAACGAGCACGTTCTTTAGCTCAGGATCTAAATTTATAAAAGCGCGAAAGTCAATCTGCAGTGCCAAGCAGCTTATTTGGCGGTACAACGCCAGCGCGAGAGTACAGATTTATCTATGTCCTCTCACGTCGAGACCGGTAGAAGTCTGCGAAATACTTTTAATCATCAGACTACTTTGCGAAGGAAAAAGTGTTTACCTTCTTTTTATGAAAAAAATTCGTCATGCGTAAAAATTTCAGCTGATATAGACACAGTTGAAATTGTTAACAAGAGAATTAGCTTAAATCAATCATTAATTTTAAAACATCTCGACATTTCTCCTCTACTTCATACGCAAAGCTATTAATCAATTCAAGCTTTTCAAAATTGTATCTAATTAAATAGAATCGTATATAAAATTAAAGTGCTTAAAAGAAGAGTATTCGTAGTAATATTCATTTTCTTAGTAGTGGCAGGTAATATATAAAGCCTGGACGAATTATTTCTCCACTTTAAAAGAATTCTCTTCATTTGGGCACGGAATTGAAGAACAAGCTGGAAAACCACCGAGGCAGGTAATCCGATGTCATTTTAGTCGAATAAAAATTATTCACGCTTTCCGCCGTTTGCGAGACGTGCACATTTACATTTTGACGATCTATCAAAATAAAAAAGAAAAATTCATTGTAATTCAGCAAGAATTCCAAACCAATAATCTTCTCGTCGCGTAGCGAGCCGTTAATACAAAAGTGAATACACGCGAAATAACGAGCAATCCCGTGAGCGGCGAATGAAAATTCATGAAAATATGAATAGTGAGGTTGGCATGCGTGGAAACGGACCGTATATGTAACCAGACAATGTGGACTGAAAGCGAAATTCGTCGGAAAAACCGGAAATCCGTGGAACGTTCCCAAAGGAGATACCTGTCGTGTGCGACAATATATTGTTTCGGCGGAAAAGACAGAAATAGCGCCGACGCGCTATGATTGGATCATAGAGTCATGTCGAATGTCGAAGAAATAACCCGAGGAATTTCTTATCGTAACGCCAAGCCGAGAGGATTGCCGATTGCCTTAGATAAATAACGAATAAATATCCATGCATATCTGAGTACAGGTGAACAATGAAGAACAAGTGGGAATTCGGATGCGTATCGGTCTAAGATTCAAAGTATAAATTTGCGCTTATCATCTACAACCTACTCGTGGCAAGATAAAATATTACCTCGAACATCCTGAATTTCACATTTAACTAAATAATCCACCGAGACTCTTGAAAAGGGAAAACCCAAAAAGAGAGAAACGAGAAAGAGAGAGGGGGGGGAGAGGGGGGGGGGGGAGAGAAAGAGAGAGAGAGAGGGAGGGGGGGGGGTAGGGGGAGAGGGAGGGGGGGAGGGAGAGGGGGGGAGG